TTCTCTCTCTCTCTCTCTCTCTCTCTCTCTCTCTTTCTCTCTCTCTTACTAATTTTATTTTTAGATTGGGTTGCAGGCACAGATAAAGAGCAAGAGATCCCTAGCGTGGCAAAATGTGGATGGTATTTGACGTTGAAAAATTAAGAACTGCAGAACACTTTTTATTATTGTGATTACAAACGTCCGAACATTTGGGTACTTGTACAATACTCATTTATTTTCACAGTAAACTCCCTCCTTCTAAATAAAACGAACCCCACCCCTACCCCACTAAAGAAAAGAACCAAAGAAAAAATAAAGCAAAAAAAAAAGAAGCAAAAATAAACAATAAAACTAAACAAGCCTAGCCGCAAAACAAAAACAAAAACAAAGAAACAAAACAAAGCAAATCAAATCAAAACAAGGGGAAACAGTAAGAAAAGCAGCCAAGTATTGCAAACACGTTTTACTATTTTTTATTTTGACGTATACAATAATAACCATAACTGCTGACTGAAGCTTGCATGCAATTTCTTCCATACAGAGTGAACTACAATGTCGGGTTCTAGAATTCTATGTCGCAAAAGTATATCGTGTGTCTTTTCTCAAAATTCTTCTATTTTAAAGATTAATATAGAGTCTAACATGAATGAGTGAATTTGGTTTCTTTCTTAGATTTTAATAAATTGTGGTATTTCCAATGCAGGCTAGATTATCGTGCATTACACCCGACAGCACAGTCATTAGATTTGGAGGGTCACGCCTGACTAGTTTGGGTAGCCTATTTATCTGTGGACATTAGGTCGCACGTAGTACTGCTTTCTCGTTCTGTCATTCTTTTCAGTGTGTGGGAAGGTACGAGTCGTGTGTGTGTGTGTGTGTGTGTGTGTGTGTGTGTGTGTGTGTGTGTGTGTGTGTGTGTGTGTGTGTGTGTGTGTGTGTGTGTGTACATGTGTGTCGGAGAGGGGATGAGGGGAGATAAGGATGGTGAACAACCGTAAAAGAGAGGCAGAGATAGAGAAAAACTTGGAGAGAGAGAAAGAAAATAAAAAGATAAATAATTGATGAAGAAAGACAATGTGTGTGTGTGTGAGAGAGAGAGAGAGAGGGGGGGGGGGAGAAAGAGAAAAAGAGAAATAAAGGAAAGGAGGATT